CTTCTTACTTCACTGAGAAATCAACAGGAGCCGGGAGAGAAGCCCCCGCTCCTGCCGCCCCACTCGCACCCCCAGCCCTCCTCTGCCGTCCCTCCTGCTGGGCCGAGCGGAGGCCAGGGCCCCTCTGTGCTCTGCACCCCTGCCTGGCCCACAGGGGCCTGGCCCCCAGGCACGCCTTCCTCCCCGACGGCCAGGTCCCCCTCCCGCACCATCCCCTCGGAGCAGAAGCAAGTTGCAGCAGCTCCCGCTAAAAGGAAATCTTTTCTCGATTCCACGTTTTGGTCTCCTGGCCGCAGCAGAACTTTGGAGAGTGGCTGACGCTGTGTCCCCCTCTCCCCTCCCTCCCCTGAGGGTTTTGTCAGGCTCCCCGACGGTCTTGGCCACCAGGTCCCTCGGTCAGTGCTCAGCCCTCACTCACCCGACCCTCAGCAGCAGCGCCCGGCTCCCCCCCCATAAGCCACGTTCCTCACCAGGGCCCGGCTCTCCCCCATCTCACTGGCTTCTTGCCCTGCGGACCTCCAAACACCGGCGTGCCTCGGGATGGCTTCTTCCCTCTCTCTCTAAGTGACCTAAGTCCCCAGATGACCTCAACAAGCACAGTTGGCCACATGCTGGTGACCGGCCAGATTTCTCCCTGCGGCCCAGACTCCAGCACTCCAGGCTCCCGCGGCCGGCTCCCCTGCTCCAGGCCCACTGGGACGCCTCATAGGCATCGCAAAATGCAAAATGCAAAATGCATGTGCCCCAGAGAGAATCCCCCATCGCTCCCCTCCTAAATCTCAAACAGGACGCTTCCTTTTCCCAGGACGTCTTTGCCTTGCTGCAGCCGGATTCCCACCGCAGCCAAGGAACCTGTCGTTCCTCCGAATTTCAGCCAAACGCTTCCTCCCTGGAAGCTCCAATTGGGGTGGTCCGGGTGCCCCTCCACTCTCTCCATCACGCCCTCCTGGCCCCCTCCCCCCCCCAGCTGGCAGTGTCTCTGGCCCGAGCTCCAGCAGCTTTCGGAAGCACCTCTACCAGGACATGGAATTTCTGGCCCACCCCTTTACCCCTTCCAGCCCCGAAGACACCCAAGGTAAGTATCAGAGGGGGCTCCGCACCTCCAGCGCCTCACACGATTCTTGCCACATACACGTTCAACAAAAGTTTCAAGAAAAAATGATTCCAAAAGGATGTAAGCAGCTTTATGTGAACAAGAGGAGCTGTGAGTGGGGATGGGAGGAGGCGACTTGGGGTGGTGAACACATAAAACGATATGCAGGTGATGCATTACAGAACTGTACACCTATATAATTTTAGGTGTCACCCGATAAATTCCATACAAAATAAAATTAAAGAATTAAAATTTTAAAAAGAACTGTGATTACAATTTGATTTATAAAATGTCATTAAGTATCTGTGCCACAATATATCCGCTAAAATTATTCGTAGGGTTCATATCAGAATTTTTCTAGGTCTAGTTTCTGATATAGTTTTCATCTTCTAATAACTTTTACCTATTAGTTCAAAGTCTTTTTTAAGGGGAGGTCATATTTGGAAAGCAATGGAAGCCTTTTTAAGGTAATATTTATCTTCTGTCTGGCAAACATTTTATCACTGACCTGGTTTCAATGGGGCATGAGCCCTGGGAAGGTGAAAATCTCATGCTGAGGTTACTGTAGGTCCCAGCAAGTCCTTAGTCACAGGCTTACCTGACAGCCAGAGCTGTGGCATCGCTCCGTTAGTCAACGTCAGGGTGTAGCAAAAAAAGTGTCAGAGGTTTCACTGCATCTGTGAAATTAAGAGATTAATTGATTGATTAGCGCCCTCTGGTGGCATACATTACTGGCTTCTTACTGCTGAACTGTTTCTTTTCTTTTTTAAATATGTTTTATTGATTTCAGAGAGAGGAAGGGAGAGAGAGAGAGAGAAACATCAATGATGAGAGAGTCATTGATCGGCTGCCTCCTGCACACCCCCGACTGGGGATGGAGCCCGCAACCCGGGCATGTGCCCTGACCGGGAACCAAACCGTGATCTCCTGGTTCGTGGGTTGAAGCTCAACCACTGAGCCATGCCGGCCGGGCACTGCTGAACTGTTTCAAAACACCACCCATGCTACTTCTTTTTGGGAATTATCTAAAGTTTTGATAAGTATTTTTGAAAGATGTTCCAGGTGGATGACAGAAACCAGACTTTCAGAAAGGAGAGAGCTAACTGGGGGGATCTGGGTGGGTGCCCTGGGCCATGGACAGTGCAGTCTCAGGGCCTGAAAGGGACTGCGCAAGGGGACTGCTGTGTAGGTCTCAGCGACATGGAGGTCGCTTCTCAAGTTCAAGGCTGCTCTTCCTACCTGTGCTTTGGATCTCATTCCCACTCTTTCCTTCAGGTATCTTTGCCTTGTCAAATAGCTCCTCTCCCCCTTATCTTCAAACCCTAGTTCCTTTTAAAATTTGGTTCAAATGTCAGTTACCTGAAGAATCTTTCTTGATTAACCCCTCCCCTTCCAAACCCACCCTAAGCTAATTAGAAGCTCCTCCCACTATCCCCCTATAATAGGCAACACATTCCTCTATTAGGCCCTTTGTCACAATATCAAGCAGACCAGTCCCTGTCCGTGGGTGAAGATTTCGTTTTTAGTTCTGCATATTTAAAGCTTATTAGAGATTTTGGAAACGGTAGATAAAAGTTCAATAAATATGTGTGGAATATAATAACCATATTAACTATCTCTTGAATCACAGATTTTCTAGTGCAGGTCCCTGATTTTGTAGAAAATACACTGTGGTCCAGAGAAATTGAATAGCTTGCCCGAGGCTCAGTCAGGGGGTGATGAAGGGCTGCAATTTTGGACGCCTGACTAATCAGAAATCCCTGTTCCTCCCACTACACCCTGACACTGTGTGCACCAATAGCACTATGTATTTCCCACAAGTGGGTAAAAAAGATACCATATATGCCATGTCACTTTTATAACGCTTACTTTAGACTTTTCTTAGTGTCTGTGGCTTTGATGGCTTTTTTAATGGAAAACTCCAAATCAAGAGAAATGGACTATAATGACCCTTAGAGGACATGTCTGTGTGAGGGTTGTACAACTCTGTAAGCTTTCTCACCACCACTGAAATTCCCACTTACTATGGGGAATTACAATTGTACTTTGATAATGTTAATTTTTTAAAAATATATATCTTTATTGATTTCAGAGAGAGGAAGGGAGAGGGAGAAAGAGGGAAACACCAATGATGAGAGTCATTGACCGGCTGCCTCCTGCGCGCCCCCTGCTGGGGATCGAGCCCGTAACCCGGGCCTGTGCCCTGACCGGGACTCGAACCTCGATCTCCTGGATCCTAGGTCGATGCTCAACCGCTGAGCCACGCCCTGCGGGGCATGCTGTTAATTTTTTTAAAGTTAAACAAGCAAGTATCAATTCTCTTATATCCTTACCACGCAAAGATAGCTGTTTTTAGTGTATGTATTTTTTGGCCGTGTATGTGTTTTAACAAAAGGTGACTTCTGTACAGTTTTTAAACTGCTTGGGTCACAATATGAATACATTTACATGTCATTAAACTTTTTTTTTAACAACTGAACTGTGTGAGTTTTATTTCATAGAATCATGAATCAAAAAATTGGAAAACCATCTTGAAGATCATCTAATGTCGTTCACCCCGTTTTGGTTTCAATGTCCTTCTGTATAAAACGAGGAGGTAGAACTAAATGGTTTTCTTCGCTCTTGACTTTCCTGTTCTGATTGCCCTTACCCTCTTTGATTCTCTATGCCTTTAGCAAAATTTACTCCAATCTGCTGCTAATGAAAATAATTTAAAATAGCAACTAAAATTGTGAGCTTATTTCAGTCCATATACATAACATTTTCTCATTTAATTCTCCCCCAAATCCTGTATTACCCTTTTATAGGCAAAAAAATTTAAGATTTTCTTCGTTAAAAAATTTCTTGGAGGAAGGAGAGAATGTGGAATTATTGCTTAACGGTTACAGAGATTGTTTGGAGAAATGAAAATGTTTTGGAAATGGTGGCAATGGTTGCACAACTTGTTAATGTAATTACCAATGCCACTGGATTGTGCAATTAAAATGGTTAAAACAGTAAATTTTGTTATATTTTATCACAAGAAGTCACCATGTACAACCGGCCAACATCTCCCTATTTGTCCCCCCCTCCCCCTGCCCATAGCAATCACCAGTCTACTCTCTGTTTCTCTGAGGAACTCATAGTCTTAATATGAATGCTATTTGCATGTTGACGACAATCTTTTGTAACTCGGTGAAATAATGATGAAAATTTCAGGTATCTGGCAGACAGAGAGAGGCCCACATTTTATCAAATTATAATCACTCAGAGAACCTCATTCTTGTATCTGGTACTGTTTCAGTTGCTTCTGAAAAGGTAAGTCCATAATGAATTTTGATACATCCCCAACATAAATTTCCTAGTTTAAAATTTTGATGAAGTTGAAATCCACTGTGCCAGAAAGAATTAGACCTCAGGGATATAAACTAGCAATTTCAGGTTTTACCACCCTCCGTGATGCTCCATCTGAGTGTAAGTTCTTAAATATCACCTGCATTTACAGTAGCGATTATAAACCACTATCCACAGTCTAGCTGATTCTATTCCTCAAGCCTCTTAGGCCTATTTTTGCCCAAGAATCAAGTACTTAAGCCCAGTCAGGTCAGACTTTAATGTGAATGAGATGCAGTGATTCGGGTATTTTTAAGCTGGATGATCTGAGGTTGGACTAGGCCAGGTCTTAGAGATAACAGGCACAGCAGTACTGCAGTCTCCTTTAAATCGGATGAAATAAAAACTACCCTTAAGCCAAGCTCTTCACCTTTCTGTAACATCAAGGAGCGTGACGATTAGCTGAACTAAAGGAAACACTCTCCGAATGAGGGAGACTGGGGACTGTCGGTTACAGTTAAGAGTCAAATTTATTCTGTAAAGAAGATTGAACTGCACTGTCATCACTGGGTACAAATGAAGGATAAACAAAGGCTTTTCACTTAAAGAACATCTTTATTTGACCTTTAATATACAATATTACCTTTAATTTATAAAAATTACATACGGAGGACATGACTGGAAATCAGTTCGGGAGCAGCCAATGGGTACTGATTCAAGAGGTTACACTCACCCGGATTTAATAGTTTAAGAAAAAGTATTATCAGTGAATTTGAGACCAGTGAGGTTGAGCAATGGCATTTCAACTTCCAAATCCAGTAATTAAAATGGGATACTTTAATTAATCCAATAAAAGTTCATTTCTAAATTTTCCAAAATATCGTTTTCCGCAAGAGAGAGATGAGCGTATCTCCAAGTTTTCAGGCATGCAATCTGCAGCAGGCTTCTGTAGCACTCGAATGACTGCAAGACATTTGCGATTAAAACCCTCTACATATTACACGTGCAAAAGTGGGTCTAGGTGTTTGTAACCTCACTTTCACAGAGCTGCAGTCATCTGCATAGAAGGCTGGACCTGGAAAGGCAGCTCATTTGTAACATGTACTCCCTGTCACTCTGAATACAGGCTTCCTCTCCTCTAGAATTTCCAAAAATCGTGAAATATTTGACAAACTTCTTAGTGAAAAATCTATGATCCCTCAGGATGACTGGTGCATTGCAATGCATCTACTGGTGATAAGGTGTTGAGTCATCTCAGGAGTTCTGCTGAGCTGAAAGTTTAAAAAATGGGTTACTTGTTAAACAGTGGAAGTGTGAGGCTGAGACTGAGAGATACTTTAATTTAAATGTGATGCATTCTGAAATGATGCTATGGACCAGTGAAGGACTTCAGGAGAGTTATGCAAGGGAGGGGGAGGGGAACTGTCCTTTTGGATAAATGTTCTCTGCTCTCCTTGGATGTGGCAGTTCTAGAGGTAACAGGGGCAGTACCCTTCTGCAGTCTAAAAGAGTAAGACTGGCTGCCAAATGGCACATAACCCATTTTCTGTTGCTTAAAATGTTTCCAGAGATTGGTTTCTGTAGCACAAAGGTCAGAAATCCTACCGCATCCTTGTCAGAGGGCTCTAGTTCTCGAGAAGAGGAATTTCGCAGCCCCAGTAACCCAGAGCCTTGGTCCAAAGGTCAACGAGCAGGCAAAACTTAGAGAAAATTACTACTTGGACACCACAGAAACACTCCGGTTTACATGGGGACTCCAGGACCGTGGCATTAAATGACAAGGCAAGGACACCGTGGTGGCTGACAGCATACCCCAAGAACAAAAAATGTGCCTCTTTCATGATAGTTGCATCATGCTGAAATCTGAACAGACTCCAGAGGAGTATATCTATTTTCAAGACAACAAAAAATATAACTTTTGAGGTTACACAAATACATACACGCGTACATATACACTTTTTTTTTCTTTCTTTAAAAATGAATGTAACTCAAAGGTGCAGATCAAAGATTACAGGGCTGTACACAAATGAAGCTTTGGGATCAAGGTTAACTGTGACCTGTGGGCAAAATCCAGCCCTCCATGTTTTTTGTAAATAGTTTCACTGGAACACAGCCACGCCCCCTCATTTACATACCGCCTGTATCTGTTTTCATGTTTCAATAGCAGAATGAGTAGTAGAGACAGTAACTGGATGGCTCACAAAGCCTAACATATTTACCTAGACCCTTACAGAAAAGCTTGCTGAGCCATTATAGGTCAAAAAGAACATCTCCATCATGACATGAATGAGCTAAAATAACAGAAAATCATCACCAATGTTCTCGAACCAGAATAATTACGGAATAAGTGCATTAAAATATCTCCATACCATATCTGGTTATTCAAATATTCTGCTTAGAAGTTGTGCAGCCAAAACCAGTTAACAACTATTTGTTAATTAACAAACAGTATTAAAAATCTCTGTGCATAATTGTATTTATCTTGGTAAAGCGTGGATATGAGCTAGCCAATTTGAGGGTCAGGAAACCTAGAGAAAGATTAAGAACTCACAATACTATTACTGGGAGCTATTGTTTGGAACTTAGAAGTATTTTAGTATAGTTTTCTTTACATTTAACAGCATGGAAGCATTAGTAGGACACACAGTAGAGCAAAAACAATATACAAATGCAAGTTTTACCCATGAACTATGTGATAGAATTTTTAAATATAAAATAACTGGCATTTCTAGAAAACATTAATTTTTATTATGTAATTAAAGTGATATAGCAAAATAAGAATGTTTGCATTTATTTCCAAATATTTTAGTCAAAGTTGCATCAGAAATCAAGTATTTCCTTGACATTTTCCAAGAGACTTTAGTTATAAACTACAACTATAGCTGTTGAGATTATATAGTAACACACTGCTTAAAATATAAACAATTTCTTTTACTCTTTAATTTCAATGAAATATGAAACTAAGAGTTCCAAAACATGATTCACACTGGAAAACATTTGAAATGGTATGAACTACTCTTATCCAGAAAATGCCACTGGAATCACAAAATGTTCTAATGCCTGAAGTGCCTGGCACGATGCTGGCATGCAGTGGGCACTCCATGTTGCTCACTCATCCTCTCACTCACTCACCCATTCATTCAAAAAATCCACGCTTAAGGAGAAACTGCATAATGCGAATGGCAAGCACAATCTTTTATGAACGTACTTGTAGTTTTGACAAGACTTTGGCAATAGAGAAAAGAGATGAGATGATCAAAATTTCAAACTGCTTGGTTAAAACCTACCAAGCAGAGCCCTGGGTTGCCCTAGCTGAAATCACAGAAAATCAGGGTCAATATTCCACAAAAGGAATACATTCTTTCAATACCCAATTATACATAAACATCTGCTCAGAGATGGGATTAAACTGGTGTCAGAGACACAAAACAGCACATACCCACCAGGAAGGAAGAGCCCTTCACTGAGGACTGACTTTCTGCACTGACTCCTTTTTGGTTAGGGCCATAATCTCTTGGCCTTAACTTCATACTGGTTTGAACAACAGGTGTGATTCTAAAACTTTAGAAGAAACAACTGTAGAAGGTAGAGGGGTATTCCAACATCTCTATTTTTTCTTTTTTTATGTACCAACTGATCTATCTACTTTGCATATTTGTGCCAAAGGCACAAAGTAAGGTATCTACTCTTTGAGGAGACACCTGGAAAGGTGCACGTCTAGCTCTTTGCAGAAGTTTCTATACATGTAATGAGTTATTTAACCTCAGAAATAGGTCTACAAAATGCAAAGCGCTATCAAGGACAGGAGAAACTAAAGAATACTCTTGGAAACTAAGCAGAATATGGCATAAGGATTAACTTCAGAGGAAATAATTTAAAAAATTCGTAACAAAAATAAAACATGACACTGGCGTCATCTGTAGCTGACTTTAATTGCCTTTGGTATTCAGAAGGAAAAAAAGGAGCATGATTGTAGGCTCTAGTCCACAGGCAGGCAGGGGTGGTAAGGACGACCCCCCAACTGTCCCTCCCAGATTCTTTGCCTGCACCAGAGCTGGCTGCACTTGTACACTTCTCTGCCTTCTTTTACGCTCCAGTCATTTGAGAAATACAACGAGCACTTTAGGAGTAAGGGTTGTCTCTCATTCCTTGAGAAGTTCCTGGGGAACCAGAAGAGCCCCTTACTCTGAATTCTTCTAAACGAAGCGAGGGAGGGTCTGTTGCCATCTACATAGCTGTTCTGGGTCCTTGCCAACTCAAGGTTTTCACTTCTTTTAAGAACCAAATACTTTCTTTCCCTTTCTCTTCTGAAGCAACAGTCATCTACCCTTCTCATTTAAAATTTTATTTTTCAAGTAGTAAAAAATAATACAATTTCAAAATATGTACTAAAATTAAACCCTCTTAAAGACTTAAATAATGCACCTGGCTCCACATCCTTGTTTCCTATTATACTGAAACACTTGCAGTGTTATCACTGATCATTTGTTGAACTGTGAAGATTGTTTGACTACTTGTGGGGTAAGGTGATCATCCTTAGATAATATTTAATTATATTAATTTATAAATTGTTTCCCAATTTAAATTTACTACATGCCCATGAAAGGTTAAAAAGAAAAGCTATCAAAATAAAAAAATAAGCCTTCAGAATTCCAAGGTGGGCTTCTTGCACAAACACTGTTTCATGAAATCTTGAAATTCAGAGTAAATATTAGACTAATTATACTATTTCCAACTTTTACTGTCAATGGAAGCTGTTTGTATTAAATATAAAGAAAAAGTGTCTTGCACTGTGACAAATTCAAGGGACAGAACATTTATAAGCATTAGGTATTTATCTTACAATATAGTTCTTGATAAAATTTAAGTTATTCCCCCAAATAGAAATAATCATTTTATTTAAAAAGAAATATCATTGCAAAATCTATTGATGGTATGAGAAAATCCTTTAGCTATATCCCAAATTCAGTGTAATGTGATTAATTACATCACACTTTTATTACTAAAAATTGTTTTGCAGCTATTTTGATTAACTCTCTGGATTTCTATAAATATCCTTGGAGAAAATAAAAGTTAAATTTATTTTTACATAAGAATATTTTTGAAAAGCTCACTTATTTGATGAGATAATAAAGGATCCCATGTTCCCATTTCAGAAGGATATTTAAGGAAGTTTCACTGTATGTATTTTGTTTTTTATTTAATGAGCTGTGAAAGTAATTTGGCTCATCAAGAAAATTCAGAGTTGCATGATAGTATAGTGAATTTTGCCAAGCCACATAAATAAAGTTGTAAGTTGAGGGATTCTACTAAGTTTATAATGAGGTTAAAACGGTTAAAACTTACTTGGTAGATTTGCTGGTTTGGAAAAATAATCTCCTACCAATAAAACTTAGAACAGTTTTCAAGGCAACCAAGTACGGCATTTCCCCTACTTCCTGTCATGCTACCAACACCAGACTGAACGACATGCACAAAATCCCAAGCCCAGGCTCATAAGCAGTGGGTACGACAAACTGTGTCAATGATTCCATACGGAGACAAAGACGTGAAGGATATTCTCTGTAAGATCATGCCCCCAGAGAAAATTAAATTTAACCAAGAAATTTCAATGGAGTAGATTGGGATTTGAAATGGTTGCCAGTCTGGTCATCCAATGGATAACTTGAAAATTCAGAAGGGTAGGTATTTGTTTCTTTTCCAAGTCTTCTTGCTGCTGATACAGTTACACAATTCTTTTGTTCTTGTTTATTTCAGTTCATCCTATTATTAAAAATGGAGAAAAGGGGCTAAACAATGCATAAATATTTGATTTGAAAGCTGCTCCACTTTGGAAGGAGACACATAGAAACTGGTGCCAAAGGCCATCTCTAACTCCTGAAGATGCTCCACATTCTTGGCTTACTCTTAGGAAGTCAAGCCTCCGGGTTCCAGGACTCTAGAAATAGGATCATAGTAACTGGTATAATTTCTCATGTGACCATCTTGTTAAGAATCAGAGCACATCAGGTCTCCGTCCTATACACACCGGAACATGTTTTGGTCAGATATAAAATGGAATTATTTCAAAGCTGAGATATCTACAAGCTGAAAGTCTGTGGGGAATGAGTCATGTTTCACCCTGCACGTTGACCTAAGAGGTTCAGGTCTTCCAAAGTCCCTTCTCCAGACTCTCTTCTGTAGTGGTCCATGTAAACAAAACACAGGTGAGAATGGTCTTTCTGGAGCTGCTTTCATCGAACAGCAGGATTTCCTGAAAGTGTGGTGTTGGCTAAATGCAACACGGGCAGAGGGTGAGCCTCTGTATTGAACACCCAGTAGTCTAAGGGCAAAAGGTCATCACCGGAGAACAGCAGATACAAATACCTGAAAATAAAAGGAGCTTCTATTAGAATTCAGGGAGATCAAGTGTCCAGTTATAATGGTAGAGGACACCAACAAACTATTTTGAGCAGCTTTAATGAAAAACACATCAGAGGACGAACCCCAGCCACTCAAATGATCTAAAACAAAACAATGTGCTCCAGAAGAGTGCACAATGAGACCTTTGAGATAAGACAGTTAAAAAACAAGCTCCACATATCTGTTTGAAGCACATAAAACAATGCTGGAAAATGGTGTAAGACAAACCACTTCGTAATTTTCAGACACTCTTTGAAACATAACATATTATCAGTCATATGTTGTGGCAGCTTACATAATATAACTAGAAATTAATTGACATTTGTAAATAAACAATAAAGGAAATAAGCAAAGTACATTATTTAGACATGGTGAGAACTTTTACACACTCCTAATACATTAGCAGTTTTTGCAGGTACCACAAACTATTAAAGGTTTCAGAAACATAGATTTATAAGAGGTTTAATAATTATTAATTTCTCTTCATGGGTAACAGCATTGTTTATAGAAGGGCAAAGATTTCTGATCTCTCCAGGAGAAATGCAAGCCACAGTGATTACGTAGAAATCAAAAATGATAGACTTAATATACACAATGACTCTTACCTACAATGTCGGGCAAATTCCAATCTGAATTCTACTGGGGAGAGGGATCATGAAAGTGAGCATAAAAGACTAACTGTATAGAGTTAGGAAATCTGGGTTCTAACTCCTGACCTTAGCAGCAACTAGCTGGCCTTACTAGGCTTCAGTCAAGAATTCCTTTACAGTTCTTCAGCTAAAATTTATTTTAAAAACAGGCACTTTAATACCTTTTCTGATTACTGTTACAGTTCTGGATGACAGAGTAAAAACACACAGCACTGAGGTAAATGGAGACTGCATATCAACTAATAACTGGTAAAGCTGGATGGGGGAGAGAGTAACAGGGCTTCCAATCTCACTCCTTGACCCGAGACTTGAGATCTACTGAACTGATTTATTCACCCAGTTGCAGGCACAGACATTAGAACTGAAAAGACAGACTTGGTTGGACACAGTGAGCGCCTCTGCTGGATCTGCTTACTGGATGGCGACCAGAAGCACAAGCTCTTGGTGTTCTGGGTACACACATGTGCGGGAAAGCTATGTTCTGAGCAATTCCATGTCTCTTAGTTAGATGTAGGCTAATGAACCAGGCTCACTTTAGCCTTATCACTTCTAGGCAAAGGGGTAAGTAAAGGAATGACAGAACATACGAGAATTTCCTAAAAAATTATTCCTTTCCATGGGAGGTGCTGTAAAAGTACTTCATGTAAACATACGTTACAAAAATCAGTAAGATAACACAGTGAAAATTTTACATAACAAAAGATGCTATCATTTTTTAAAAAGGATCTTAATTAAACATTATTGTAGTGGGTTGAACAGTCTACCCCCCTGCCCAATTTATTTCCACCTAGAGCTCCAAAATGTGATCTTATTTGGAAATAGGGTCTCAAGGATCTCAAAATGAAATCATTCTGGACTTAGGGTGGGCCCTAAATCCAAAGACTTGTATCTTTACAAGAGAAAGGAGGGGGAGATTTGGACTGAGACACACAGGGAAGAAACTTATATAAAGAGAGAGGCAAAGACTGAAGTTATGCTGCTATAAGCCAAGGAACACCTTTTTAAAAAAATTTTATTATTTTTTTGAGAGAGAGTGAGAAAAGAAGAGGGAGAGAGAGAAACATTAAAGTGAGAGAGTAACATCAATTGGCTACCTCCTGCACACCGTCTACCAGGGACTGAGCCCACAACTCAGGCATGTGCCTGACTGGGAATCAAACTGGCAACCTTTCGGTGTGTGGGACGATGCTCACTGTCATTTTTATTTTCATTTCTTTTATTATAAATGTGCTAGATATTCAATACTCATTCAAATCTGCTTTCAAGCATACCTCCATACATTGCAGAGGGCAGAAAACTATATATAACTGTACCTTAAACTTACATCATGTGAGGAGTAGAATGATTATATAAAATGGAGTCACTATAGTCAAACTGTTAAATTACTAATATCAAGTAGGTTGAGGTATGAGGAAATTATTCTATTCCTGTTTTAACTAGCCTGGGAACTTAAACTTTTGAACTTTCCAGTTCTGCAACAATGCCTGGGTATACATGACACCTCCGGATAACCCTCTCATTACCCCGAAGGACTAAGAAAAGAATGTTCACGTATCCAGACCACCTGACATCTGAGTGATAACCATCCTGGACCAATCCTAGGGATAAGAGTGCGGGACTAATTATTTTCAAGAACTGTGAACTTTTCTTTCTTTGATGGAACACTTCCGGGTTTTTGCCTAGCCGGGTTTCTGTTTGCAAACCCTAAGACCCTTAAATAAATCGTCATCATTTATTTCTAGCCAAAAAACCCTACTATGTAAGAGTGATCAGAGTACAGATACAAATAGTCAACTTTTTTCTTAACATAGGCTAAAGATATATTCAACAAATTCAACACATGTTTACTGAGTGCCTCATAAACTGTGTGCTGGGTGCCAGGGAGATGGGAGTAGTTAAAAGGGAAAGTTCCCATAGTTATGAAGCTTACATCCTACTGGCAGAGAAAGATAACAAACATATATGTCAGGTGGTTACAGCAATAGAAAGAAAATACCACAGGCCGAGGGGCAGGAATAAGGCAAGTACAGATCACATACATATATATGCAGGGCATGCTTTCATAGGCAGGCGCTCAAAAAACAGCGACTCTAAATCAAGGAGAATGTCAGCGTGGCTTGTAGGCTCCCTGATGTCAGGATGTGTCCCTACAACAGCAATGGCACCTATGAGGCACTTAACAGTAAGTGTTTGATGAATTATCTCCTCTATTACACTGTATCATCTTTGTATTTTAATCACCATTTACTTAGTAGTTTAAAAAAACAGAGCTCAGATCTATATAAAGAACAAAGAGGTGGAATTACGGATCCAAGAAAATAACAGTTTAAAAGGGTGAGCAAACGCTGAAATTTCCCCCCCATTAACTTCCTAAGAACCTCTGATTCTTACCTGTGTTCTTAACCTACAGAAAAACATTTAGAGTGATTTATTCTTTTGTCTGAGTTTATTCTTAATCACTTAAAATTCAAAATAATTTGAGATGGACTTTTTAAAAAGCAGGCTCACTCAAACCTCACTTGAGCTGTCAAGTACTGTATCTAAATGTTTCTTTACTTCTCAGAATACCCTTGATTCTAACATTTCTACTCAGTTAATTTTCTGAAATATTTTTGTTAATCCCCACCCAAGGATATTTTTTCTGTTGATTTTTTTTTTTTTTTTTTAGAGAAATTGGGAGGGAGAAGGAGAGAAAGAAAGATCAATGTGAGAGAGACACATCGATTGGCTGCCTCTCACAGTCGGTGAATGAACCTGCAACCCAGGTACGTGCCCCCTTGACTGGAAATTCAAGCCTTGACCCTTCAGTGCAAGGGCTGATGGTCTAACCACCGAGCAACACTGGCCAGGGCTGTCTGTATTCTTTCCATCATTCCCTTTATGTATATCTTTATGGGAATCTCCAATGAAAGGATGGGTGACTATGGTCATATATCCTCTAGTACCATCAAAATGCCACGATTACTCATAACAGGTTTTATTAGCTAGAGTGGGGAGTTTAGGTGTGGTTCCCGGACCAGCATCCTCTACATCGCCTAGGAGCCTGTCAGAAATGCAAATTCTTAGGTTCCACTGTAGACCTACTGAATCAGAAACTGCAAGGATGGCACACTTATCTGTGTTTTAAGAAATCTTCCAGGTGATTCTATTGCGCACTAAAGGTACTAAACTCTTATTTGACAAAATATCTACCTCATAGTCTAAGTCATTCTTCTTGAGATGCAGCTAAATATTAAAGATCCAATTAAAATAAAGATATTTGTAACAAAATCTAGTGTAACATATTACATAGTCATAATTCATCATGTAGTGATCATATAGCAAAACCAGCCCGCAGGCTTCCACTTACTTTAATGTTTCAGCGAGAAAGAAGCTCTGCTGTACATCATCGTGTGCAGGGGTCGAGGAATACACATCCTTTACCCCAGAGAACCCACCACTGACTCGGCAGTGCTTCTCAATAGCCTGTGAAAGAGATCAGACAACAGAATCAATGCCACAAACTTCAAGTTTTGAAGGTCAGGTTAAGGGACCCCAGTCAAAAGTTCACAGAGCTCTGTATGAGAATTTGACAGTTTAAGAATAAAATTTACTAGCAAATGGAAACATTTCCTTCTGGAAAAACTGATGGAGGTATCCTGTTTCCTGTGGAACTTCTCCCACTTCAAAACTCTTTAATCTTTTTAAGACATCTTCTATATTCCTGACCTAGGAGTCAAATTTAGGTTATTCACACTGGATTCGAGACCTGCATGACACAATAAAGTCTCATTAATTCTGACAAATCAAGAGGGAGGTCAATTTCAATTAAAATTTTTAAATACAATTTTATCACTTCCAAGGATAAACAATAATACAAATATGCTTAAAAAAATTAAAAGCATTACTTAGCAGCTCTGCATAGTAATAGCAATGAGATAATATTTACTGCAAACATACTACATGACAGAGATTGTACTATCGTAATTCTATGAGCTGGGTATTACAGGTGGTACCAACTGGCAGCAAGTGCCCACCCACACACCTACTACAATAATAATTACAATACTAAAACCTAACAATTATGAAGTACTGACTGTGCTGAAGGTTCTTCTAAAAGCTTTACATGCATTAACATTTAATTTTCCAACAACCCTATGAGGTTGTCTTAGCTCTACTGTTCAGATGGGAAAACTGAGGCAGAGTAACTTGCTCCATGTTATTATTTACTACCGACTGCAAATGAAAATTCTTAATTTATATCTCTTTTTGCATCTCTGAACATGTCTAAATAAAATATACTGAATCCAATGGAATCTATTCAAACCGTTTTCAATTCAAAACAACAAAATATCCTGCTTATGAAGGTATATTACACTCCAGAATGACACCATTCATGAAAAGGTGCAAGTGCACGTGGACTTCTCTCTACCTGACCCCGCGATACTGTTCCTAGTCTTGCACTTTTCTTACTCCCTGGTCTTCCTCCCTTCTAATGAAACGCTAATCAGATAAATGGAAATAGTCCTGTAGTTACTGAACATGAGGCAACATGGAGGACCATGACACCAGAGAAGAGCCTGATATAACTCTTGCACTGAAATGAAAAGCTGGTTTATTTACCAGAGCTGCTTCCCAGCCCCACTGCCTGTATCTTGGATCGTGAGTGAACCGCCACAGGTACCAATAGGTTTCGATGACTTCTGGCCGGAGAATGTAATACTTCTCAGCCTGCCGGACCGCCACAGCCTCTACTGCGCCATCAAACTTGAAGGACTCGGGGCCCAGCTTCAATGCTGTAAATGACAAGAGATAAAAGTGCACGTAAGCCAGCTGCGTTTGGATGTCAGCGCTTCTCTCCCCTGAAGGAACGAGAGATAAAGTTATGCTTGTTGTTTGCTTTATTTTTACTAATGCTGCTTTGCAAAATCACTGACTTTAAAAGATCCATATGTGGCTTTCTTATAATAGATTTATAAATATTCCTATTCCCCTTACATGAAATCTTTCTCATAAACAATGTACTGCTAAATCTAACTATACCGACAAGAGCCTAGTAGTCCTTTGGAAACAAATGCAAAGACAGACAGAAGCACATTACATACTCTGTTTTGGTCCAAAATAAAATGAGACAGAGAACTGTGCAGAATCACTTTTTAAAAAGACAAGACAATTTTAAAGTCCTTTTAATGTAACACACACGTAAGAGAACATTTTAGAGCTCAGATCTTTTTTTCAGTGACATTTTAAAGCCCAGAGCTCAGACCCTGAATTAGATTTCACTGGTTTTTAGTCTTTCAGGGAACTCATTATCCATTATTTCATATAGAAACATGTATTTTCAAAGCCACAGAAAACCTTGAAACATCTAGTCCAGTTTTCCTTAACCTTATTTTCAGGCTTTTAAAAAACCTAATTGCCTTCTCTCTCCATGAAATTTTAATAATACATACTGCTTACCTATCTATACCTGTATGTATATCCATGCTTCACACATAAAAAAATATATTATTCACCCCCAAGAACCAATTATTACCACTGAGAATCAGCGCATTTTCTAGGTAAGGACACTGAAGCCCAGAAATATTACATATTTGCTTAAAGCAATGCCAGAGGATCTTTTTAGTTAGAGGCACAAACAACTCAAAAATTATTGGTGAACTAAGAGAGAAACTACTGGTTACCTAGATACCAGTTATACATTCAATATAACTACTATTATCTTCTTACATTCACAAGAGGATAGGCAAGACATGTAACCTGAATCAGTCAATATTGTGTCCTTTTAAGTAACTGTTTTCATAGAAGCTGAAATGAATGACTAGATTCTTACTATAGTGAAATAAATGTTATCCCATACATCCCCAAATGCTCTACCTCTTGTTTTTAAAACAACTTCTTCAAAACTGTAACAGAATTCAGAAATAAAAAAAGTGATGCAGGAACACATTTCCAGAATTAAAATTCAAGTTCTTAAGAAAGTAATTTACTGTATTAGATTTCCTTCTAATTCCTGGATATATTTTTAACTTATAGATTCTTCTGGACTAAGTAATTAGCATCATTAATTTTTCTTACCAGTTCTATCATATGACTCGTGACATGTACGTGCAATTTCTGCCCCTAGCTCTAAATAATGACCAGCTTTGTCCCTGGAACCATCTGCTCCAAGTGCAAACATTCCCCCAGCAAAGCAGGCCAAATGCCCCATCTTCTTTTCCAGGTGCCCATTCTTCCATTCTCCAATAAAGGTTAGGCCTCCACGGGACTTCTTAATAAGATGTTTTTCTATAGCCTATAAGAAAGAGTAGATGCTCAAATTTTCAGAAGCAAAATGTTAGTGTTCAAACTTACTGCATCCTTCTGACTATAAAACCTTGGTAATATGATTAGTCCACAAAGTAGTAACTTCCCCAAACTGGAAGGCTTAATTTACAAAAAGTATGGGAGTGAGTAATCAAGTTGCATAAATTTGAACAAATATCCCAAACGTTACTGTAACAAAACAAGGCGGAAGAGGAGAAGCTAGCTTAAAGATTACCTCTCTTCTTGAGCTAAATAAAATTCATAACAATCAGTCAATTGAGATCATGATGATAAGTTAGAACCCAAAGGCTCTGCTGATTTATTTTCTATTTCATACAATAAAAACTAAATAGAAAGAACACCTATGCTCATCAGAAAAATATAATTTTGATAGTTAAACTGGTTTCTCCTTAGTTATGGTCTCAGAAGACAGTAACTAAAAGTAAAATAAAAGTTCATACATAAATGTGCTACACGAAATTCTTTCTTCTACTATTTCTTTAAAATGCACAATAAAGGAAAACTTAATATAAGACTTTTATATTAAAATACTAATAAATTCTACAATAAATGCATATAATAAAATGCATATAAGATGTTCCTCTGTCACTATCAAATACACTGTATATGTGACATGCTAAGTAGGTACGTGTTCTGACCATAATTACCTCAATGGCATCATCATACATTTTTCTCGCCTCATGGTCTGTTTTATCTGACATCAACCATGCTTTCAGTAAGTATTCATAAAAACTGTCCCCTAGCCCGCCAACTGATGTGTGATCTGCAACAAGAGAGAAGAGAAGGATGGCGGGGGAGGAAAGAGAAGACAGGAGACAATTAAATAATGTTTTCAACTATAATGACTACTGAAAAATTACATTGACAGCTCTATTTCCAACATACTTCAAACTCAGTCTAGTAATCACATACCATAATCACTCCTCTACATGTGTACCCAACTTTCTAGAAAATCTTTTTCTGCTGGATGTGGTATTGCACAAATTTAGTAGTCTTTTTCTTCAGTCACATAGTTTGCATATTGTCACACATCCAAATGTTTCCAGAATTGAAAATAAGTATCTTTCACATATTAATGGCTTTAATTATATAAGCTATAAGATTAAGTATAAACGACAGACTTAAATCTGATGTTAACCAAAAAGAGCTCATTTTTCTATAGAATGGTGAATGGTGATTTCTGTCCTATAGGCAGTAAATTAAAATAAATCTACAAAGAAAAAAAGCACAAGAATTCCTTTGTAATATCACCTTCACAATATAGTAAGTTGTTGAATCAATACCCTTGATTACTATTTATACAGCTATTAGTGCGTATTTGTTTGTCCTGGGTATATTCTTATTCTTATGGATGGGATACCATCTATACTTTTAATCTTATCCAAATTTAACAATATTAAATTGTTGCCTCCTGAGCAGGCATACTCTTTTATCCCTGACTTTCTATAAACCCTGCCCTACTTCCTCAAGCTTTGTTTCAAAACTCACATCCTCCCTTCACGAAAAGAAAAATATCACATATTTTATAACCCTTCAATCATTCATACAGTATTATTGTTTTTTCAAATTAGTGAAGAAACGATGCAGTACTTGGTGATTTATAGAAACAACTGTATCTGTTTGTGGGGAAATGCATATTAATATTTCTGTCTTTGACTCACAAAAATAAATTTGTGGCGGATCAATGATTTAAAAATAAACACAAAACTTAAGCATACCAGAAGAAACTATAAGACAATGTCAGCTCTTCCTAAGCAGATGATCTTTTTAAACACAACACAAAATGAAAGCACCATAAAAGAAAAGATTTAGTGTGTCACATGGTAGGTACAGGCTACCATAAATGACTCTATAAGGCAAGAAATAGACTGGGAAAAGATACTTGCAACATAAGAGAAATAAAGACTCATGTCCTACACAAAGAACTCTGAAAATGAAGGAAAACAGACCTGGGCACATCCAAATAATTAACAACAACAAAATACAAATTGATAATTAACCTAAAAGAGGAAGCCCAACTCCACTATTGATCAGAAAAAAGCAAATCACAACAATGAAACTCAATTTTTGTCTAATGGGGAAACATTTAAAAAGATTAACAACAATGTTGGTAAGGTTATGGTTCATAGTTGCTGGAACTGAAGGGCAATCTTGTAGTAGCTATCAAAATTTAATATAGGTTTTCTAGTTCTGGAATTCTATAACAACACCTGCACAAATACACACCACAGATCTAAATGCATCACAGCACCATTTCCATTAGTAAAATAGTAAGATACTTCACATGTCTGGGAAGTGGCATTGTTGTCTTATTTTAAGAAATTGCCACAGGCACCCCAACTTTCAGCAACCAGCACCCGGCCACCAGCCATCACTATTGAGGCCGCTGTGGAGGGTGTATCTGTAAGGGGCGATACTGAACTGTGGGAACTGTGGGAGAGAGCTGAAGGCCTAGATTGCCTGAAGGGGAGAAGAAATGAAGGTCAGGCCCTCTAAGGAGTTTGAATTTGGGGCATGTTGAGTTTGAGGTGCCGGTTGGATAGCTAAATGGATATGACAAACAGGCAATCAGATAGGTAGAAAGCCTGAGAGCGCGCTGAGCTGGGGGTATGCATTAGGGAGTTAGCAATACATAAAATGGATTTGAGCCATGGGAGTTTACTCAGAGAGAATGCACGGAGTGATGAGAGGGCACAAATGGTACTCCAGAGCGTAACACTTAGGTAAGTCGTTGAAATAACGTAGAGGGCTTTTAAAAAGTGTGTACTTTGGCCTCATAAATGTATCTGGATATGTTGTAGATCTAAGGAAAGAACAAATGAGCAGGGGAAAAAACAAGATTAAAAATGTGACAGAATTAAAGGAGGTGAAATGGAAAAGCAAGGAAAGGCAAAGTCTTTGGCATTGTGATTTAAGATAAATGTTTTTTGGATCTGTGAATTACTGCCATAGTTTAATTTACAGATTTTAGTTGTATGTTACTTAGGTCATAGGATATAGTCACAGTCCTGCTGACAGGCTCTCTCCAGCTCTTCTAGGCTATAGCTCCAGTGGAAGATTATATGCTTAGTAAGTGAACACACAGCAAAAGCCTGAGATCCATGATAACTATGGAATTTATCACCCAGTAGTCTGACTTTCTTACTTAAACCACTGAACCATGCCTGCTAGGTGTCAAGTTCAATGAAGCATGGCACTCTAGGGTTCTTTTGATATTCAGAAATTGGTAACACATTATAAAGCCCTACTAAATATCAATGATTCATATAATCTATGTCTGCATGTCAAGAAGTTAATGGCAGGTTTCTAACAGAAGCTATTTATTGAAGTGTTTTATAAAAAATTCTAGAATAAAAACTAATATTTATATCATGTGTTAAAGTTTATGAAGCATTTTCAAATATATTATCTCAAAATTATGACCCAAATGATCATCTAATTAAATGAGTACAATGAAAACAGATGAGAAGTTAAATAACATCTAAATTATTAAGAAAGCCAGAATTAGTCCTCTAACTTAAAATATTTTACCCATTCTTGTTTTTCCACAATTTTTAATTTAGCAGTATAAAATTTAATAAATCAGTAATGACCAATTTCCTATATTTCCTTCACTTCAGTCATTAAATGACGTAGGCTAAGAATCATACTTAGAAAACAAGTAAAAAATAAATAAACTGAAAAAATACTAATGATGTGCCTTTAAATCTAGGTTTCTTACTACACTCTTTTATATCTGTTGCCAAGAACTTTTCCTGAAGGTAATTACCAGTAATTATTCTCTGTGATTGCTATGTGCATGTCACAAACATTATCATTACTCTAATTACAATATAGTTAGCCAAAGCTGAATTGTTAAATTTCAGTTCAATTCACTGTTTTGCAGACTATTTATAGATATGACAGATGTATACTGCTCAAAAATAATAATGGAATGTGATATACTTTTCAGAAGCTGATATAAAATATACAAAAACATTAAAAGAAACAAATTGGACAATTCAGTAAGGGCTGCAGCTGCTAAAGGATATCAGGGCAACTCCCCTAAGATTTGAAAGACCCTTGCCAAAATAACCATTGAAAAGCTTTCTATAACATTCTCAAAATTAATACTGTTGGGAGTGAATGTATTCTGAAGAAGTAATTTCAATGTATTTGGGGGGGAGAGAATGAAAGGATTATTTTTATCACAATTCTTTATTGTGGTGAAATATATACAACATGAAAGTTGCCATTTTAACCATTTTTAAGTGTACCATTTATGTTCTTTGTAAGAGTTCTTGATATAGAGAGAATATAAAAACTTTGTTTTCCAAATATGTTCAAATATATTTGCTTAGCTTGTTACTTGCCTGTTGTTATGAACCGTAGAAGACTAACATTTAAATAGAGTAAAAACCGACACCTTCTTTATGGTCTCTGCTTTATGTGACATGTTTAGAAAAGGATTTCTTGATTATAACCAACCATTTTTTAAAGTAATTTTATGACTTAATTTTTAACAGTTAAATAGTTGTATTATATAAAACATATACTAGCATATGATATAAGGAAGGAAATGGAACATAATTCCCCTCCTCAATTTAGAATATTCCAAAATTTTAATATAACTCTCAGGGGAAAAATTCACCCTAATTAGTGAGTAGACATCCAAACCAGTCATCCTTATCTAAAATAAGAAAAGTAGCCCGGCTGGGAGTGGCTCAGTGGTTGAGCACTGACCTAGGACCCAAGAGGTCGCGGTTCGATTCCCAGTCAGGGCACATGCCTGAGTTGCTGCTTGATTCCCAACCAGGGGCGTTCAGGAGGCAGCCGGTCAATGACTCTCTCATCACTGATGTTTCTATCTCTCTCTCTCTGTCTCCCTTCCTCTCTCTGAAATCCATAAAGGATATATTTAAATAAATAAGAAAAGTACATTTTTATATTTTAGAAATGCTATTCTCAGGGTTTTGTGCTTTCGGAATGTATCATTTTCACTCAATCTAGGAATCAGACGTAGAGATGAGTTGCATGTAAAGAATTTTAGGAAAGGAAAAGAAATGTACCTAGGAGGAGTCAGAAGATTGAGATTTATTCCCAGATCCATGAAAGACACACCTGTATTGACCAATCTACTTTCCTTTCATAAAATAGAGGACAATTTCCTTGAGAGGAGCCCAAAAGTCAATCCTGTGGCAAATGTTTTCCTACTCTTGGTAGCAGGTGCCTGCATAATTTCTCACTGACAGATTCAACAGAGGTCCCCATACATAAAATTAAGTGATTATTATTTCTACCTCTTTTTTACTACTTCATTATGTTATTAGTCTCAAAATAATCCAAACATGTTACATTAGAGACAAAGTCGCAACTTCTACTATTTTAGTTTTCTGACCTTTTAAGAGAATACTGATAAACCTGCAACTTATTAAAATTCTCTTAAGTTCCACATTTCCACATAAATATTATTTTTAAAAAGCCAGTTCCTTCAAAGAGCAATTCTAAAGCTCTAACAAGAAAATCACCCCTTCACCAGACAAAATACCTTCTCCTCAGACAGAGGGACGCACTTCTACCACTGCCTCGCTTAACAACTGGTACAGTCCTCTGCTCTCACAGTTAGCACATTATATTCCAACTACTTCTCAGTGTGCCGGCCTGCCTACTCTGCAAGCCCGGGAGCTCCCTGAATTCAAACTAATTCCTACACATTCTTTCCCCATCTCCAATTTCATCCAAGAGCTTGGCACAGAGCCTAGTAAATAATAGACACATTCATTTTAAAATGAATGACTGGACATAGCGTATCCAAGAGGAATAGTCCCCGTTTCTAATCGTCTAAGATACCCATTTGATCTTCACATTCCTTTAGTAAATACCTATAATGTGGGTACATGTATATATGTTTTATAAATAGGGGCTTAAAGTACAACCCTTGGCAAATGCCCCACCATATTTTAACACAGTACTTACACATGCGTGAAATAAAATACTCTTGTGAGACAGGTTGTTAGTGTTAATGTTTCTATTTTACAAGTAGAAAAACTGAAGCTACAGGAGATTAGAAACTTGCCAAAGGTAACAGCACTAGTGAATCACAGGTTAGTCACTAATTGGGGGCTTCTCACTCTACATGTAGTGTACTTTCCACTACAGCAAGCAAAAGTTTACACACAAATAATCTTTTAACAAAGCATCAGTTGTACTAGAAATACTTACACTGACCCCAGCGACCTGTTCTTGGGTTCAAATAATTTGGATAAAGACCATTTGGACGATCCATTTTCTGAAGTAGTTTCCGAATGTGCATGACCTAAACAAAATAAAGAATGTAATGAACAAAAATGAATGTCATCATGGCTTTACACTAATCTAAGCTTTGTGCTTTTTCTCACTCAGAACCTTCACCACCTCCCCTGCCTTTTGTGTGTGTGTCTGGTGGTCAAGAAAAGCTAGTATTTTTAAAGTGCCTCATTTTTATGATGACACATGATCATTATTTAAAAATCAAGCAACAATAAAAATACAAAGCAAAAAGTCACTGGAGTTTTGATAGACACTGAACTGATGCTACAGATCAATTTGGAGATGACTGAAATTCTTATGACAGTGTTTAACTATACACGAACATGACATCTCTCTCTCTCCATTAAGGTCCTCTCCAACTGTATTCAATAGTTTTGAACTTTATCTTTTGGTATATTTATCTGCAGAATACTTATACTTCTGTTCCTATTACATAATGTATGTATTTGTAAAATGATACTTTCTTACCTGTTGTAGCTGGTGCCGAGAAATGCTACTGAATTTTAATATCTATGTTCAAAAAATATATTAAGCTCTTATTTCTAATAATTTAAATGCAGGTTGCCTCAATATTTTAGGTAATCATGCAATTTGTGATTAATTACTGTTTTCTTTCTTCCTTTTCAAGTCAATTCAATTCTTGAACCTTTTGCTCATTTTGGTTTTTTTGCCTTACCATGCTGGCTAGGAATCTCAGCACACTGCTGAATAGAGATGGCAATGAAATTCTTAAAAAGCCTACTAGTGGCTAAAACTTCTCAAGTAACAGTAAATATTTTAAATATGTTCTAAATAGAAAGGACATTTCTTTCGGTAATTAAAAAAGAAAAAGAAGGCAAGAGCCCTGATAAACGTATTTCTAGAAAGGCAATCATTTCCTAAGCATCAGTCAAGTCTTTTGGTAAATCTTAAAGGACTTTTTTTTTTTTTTTTAAGATATGGCATGCTTCACCTTGTGCAGGGGCCATGCTAATCTTCTCTGTATCGTTCCAATTTTAGTATACGTGCTCCTAAAGGGACTCTTATATAACAAACAAAGAAAAGAAAACTAACCTTTTTGTAGTAAACCGGGTCCCCTGTCAAGTAGCTGAGGTGGACAAACTCCATATGCAGTGTCCCAAATTCAGCAAGAATGCTGCTACCTGCAGATGCCCAGCCCCAGTTCCGCCCGACTCCACTGAGTGAAGCAAAGGGAAAAGGAGACAGGTTGGGAAAAGACCACGACATTTCTTCACATGAACACACATCCTTTAAGTAAACCTCTCAGGACTGACTGTAGCTAACACAATAGCTTCTTTATATCTCAAATTTTATTCTATTATTTAAAAATTTTTGAATAGATACCACACCCACGTGTTTTAAAAATTTGTTTTATAATATCTTCAAGTTCAATATGATGGAAACACTCAAGTGAAGCAAGCGCATGTTTAAAAGTTAAATATCTCCTACAGTAAAACTTCATCAAATGCCTGTTTCCTCTGCCTCATTGATTCCCCTCAATTCTGTAAAATAAATAGGTTGGTTTAATATTTTAACAATGTATCCTGAGATTAACAACGTGTGATGTAATTCACTTGACAACTGTAGCATATAAAGTATGGGAGGGAGAGAGTAAATGAACAGGTATGGTTGAAATGTTTCTATGCTTTACAGGAAGTGTTACAGTATTAACTTAACTGAAAAATTAATTATATATAGTGATTCCTACAGCAACTGCTAAAAACAGCTAATAAATAAATTATATAAAAGCACTAATCGGTAAATTAAAATTCTAAAACAGGAATAACCACATACAAATAGGATTTACCTTTTCAGATTCACCATTGCCCAGGGAATCCCAGTGGGTGTGTTAAAGGCAGGAAGGAGCTTCTCAGCCAACTGCACTGCTTTAATCTTGAATACCTAAGATAAAAACATAAATATTCATAAATTATTGTCATCAATTCATAATTATAGCCATCACCAGTCATTAATAATAGTTAACATGTATAGTAATCTGTTATAGTACACAGCCCCCCAAAAAGCAACATCCTAATATCATTGAGAAAAACTTCCTTATATCGTATGCTTATTTTAATTTATTCACAAATATACAAACTCTTTAATGAGAAATACATCATAGCCTTACATTCCCTATTTTCAGAACCATATTTTAGTAGACAACAGCAATAGCTCATTTAAAACAAATTAGTTTTTAAGTATGAAATGCAGGCAAATAATACAAAATCCAGAGTATCAATTCTTTTCCATTCCTATCCCCTCAACTACACAGTTCCCTCTACAATGCAAATGATCAGTCTCTTAAGTATCTAGTAAATATTCTGTGCAATATCAGTTCCATGGTATGCATGGTTCCTAACTCTGTCACATCAAATCCTCATTTTATGGCTTTCCAAGAAACAAATTCTGTTACGATTTACACACACACACACACACACACAGAGCCTTTGTGTGTGTCTCTCTCACACACAGAATATCATACACTCAATTCTGAACTTGCTTCTTTCAATATCTTTCCAAATCATCCACAAATGTCTATCATTTCCTTCTCTTTAGTGGCTGCAGAATTTCTCCTAAGTGGATATACTGTAATTTATTTAGTCAGTCCTCTATTAATAGACATTTGTTTCCAAACTATGTAAGATAAATTTCAGAACTGTTAAATCAATAGGTGTACTCACTTATAATTTGGATAGTTAATGTCAATTTGTTCTCCACGTTTTACTAATTTCTGTTCCTACCAGAATCTGAGTGGCTGTTTCCCTGTATTTTTGCTAACACAAAAGTTACTGAAATTTACATTGCCAATCTGATATGCCATCACTTTTATTTTCATTTCTTTTATTATAAATGTGGTAGATATTCAGTACTCATTCAAATCTGCTTTCAAGCATACCTCCACACATTGCAGAGGATAGAAAACTACATATAACATTTCCCAGACTCCACTCCAGCTCAGGTTTAGATAATGGCCTACGCATTGCCAAGTATAACAAATATGCAGAATTTGGAAGGAAGAAGTAAATGATCTGAGGCTGTGGCCTTGCAGGCACAGTGGCAAAGGTGTGTTTCTTCTGTGGTAGCTCTAATGGAAGTTCTAGTGGCTGGTCCTTCATAGATACCTTGTGGGCGAGGAAGGCAATGGAGCTGGTGCTTGATAGCTATACGGCATGCTTGGGCATTTCTCTTGGCCCTGGTTACAAGCTATGTAATGAAAATGTCTGATTTCGTGTCCCTCCCAAAGATTCTGTTAGCTAGTCATTACCCTTTAATAAGTCACTAGGTAAGACAAATTGTTTTCTGCAACTAGGATTCTTGACCGATAAGATGATGAAAGTAAATCAATTATTTGTATGTTTAAGAGCCTCAGTAATATTTAAATGAAGACTTCTAAAACATTTCTTTTATGTACAGAAAAAAAACTTTTATGTATTGAATATCCACTAGGTAAAATCTCACAACTATTTTTACCAGAACAAATTATAGGTAATGGAACTCTGCTAAAACTGGTCCCAGGTTTAGAAGAATAAGAACAGGAAGGATTATTCCTAGGTCTGAAAGAACTGGAAGAAATGGGACTAAAAAGAAGCAATGTGGCAAGATTACAAATAGCTTTAAAATATAAGCAATAAAACAAAGCAAGATAATAAACAAGAACCATGGTACATCCTTGAGAAGGAAAGTGACATTAGAGAATCCATGTGTGCTTTTGTTTTCTTTATTAGACTATTTAAATTACTAAGGTGATCCTCTTCAGCCTATTTTCAACCTAGCAGTCAGAGTGAGAATGTGAAAAAGTAGAGTTTAGAATGCTGAAATGACGCCCATCTCATCCAGAGTAAACATTACAGACCTCTAAAAAGATAGACGTCTTTGTGTGATGGATTTCCGTGGCCCGCTGCCTCCTTTGTTGCCCCCCCAGAAACCTACTCCCCCCCAACCCCAAACCTCTCTTGTTATCTCTGAGAATGCCAGTTATGCTTTACTTCCCTGTCTTTTCATTTGCTGTTCCTTTCCATTAAATGCGTTTAGAAAAGTTACCCACATGGCTCTTATCTCCTTTAGGCCTTTTACAAGTTTTACCTGTGCACACACTCCTGACCGCCCTGCTTTAATTGAAAGCCCTTTATCCCGTTCCATGCTCAATTTTTCTCCTTCGCATGTATTTTGTGTGTGTGTGTGTGTGTGTGTGTGTGTGTGTGTAACCCACTCTCCCGCATATCTATCTGGTTTATTGCCTGTTACCCCTACAGGAGATGGGAAGAAATTTTTGTTTTGTTTTATTTACTGTTGTATATATACTCAGTACTTAAAGGAGTATCTAACACATATGAGGTGCTCAACAAATGTTGAATGAATTAAAATTGAAGAAGCCAAAGAACATAGAGATTTACAGTGAACAAGTACATCATCTTCTTGCTCTTCCACACCAACCCCCCCCCGAAGTATCTATTTAGGATTCCTAATCTAGTTCTGAATTTCCCTTTTATTTCTTCAGTGTTCTGGTAGAGATCACGTCTTCCCTTTGTTGTTGTTTTTTATCTTCTTACACTGACAATTTGTAATAGTTCTCTTTATCTCTACCTGACCCTGCTTTTATCAACTTTTGCCTCTCACCAGCCTCTAACAATTTTTAGTTTCCTCTGTTATCCACCTCGGTTTTTCTCCCTGATTTACTTCCGGCATTGTCTTTTCACATACTTTCCTAATGATATTTCTAGCTTTAGTTCACAGTTCCTCTTGTTATCAATCAATTAAGTTTAACATGCAACTCTATTTTTTATGTGGACTTTAAATCCATCAGTAATGTTATGTACAGTGTATTTTGGTACTATGATTCTTTTAATGATCTTCTTCAGTTTTACTGTTTGACGTTAACAGCTTGTGGTCAGTACCACAATCTGTTCCTTGTCTTGCTTTGGCAGAGAAAATAAAGCTTCTCCATCTCCTGCTTCCAATTGCACAGTCTTTCTGATTTATGTATTGCCCACTTGGTGATGTCCATGTACACAGTTGTCTGGTTGTTTGGAGCGTGTGTTTGTAATGAACAAGTTGCTGGCTTCGCAGAAATCCATGAGTCGATCTTCATTTCTGACCCATAGCCCAAATTTTCTGATGACATTTGATTCTGCTATATTTCCTACTTTTGAGTTCCAGTCTCCTATAATTATCAGCAAGTCTTGTTTTGGTGTGTGATCTTTTTTTTTGATATTTGTGTAAAAGTTTTCAATTTCTTCTTCAGCCTCTGTAGTTGGAGCATAGACTTGAATGATGGTTACATAAACAGGTTTTCCTACAGTCTGACTGACCACCCTATATCTTGCCTCGGTATTAAAGCCACATCATTTCTTGCTGTTTGTCATTTCCAGAATGGAACACTTTGCAGCTGCCTAACTGGAAGTGTCCCATTCCAGTCCATTTTAGTTCACTAATACCAAGCACTGCAATGTTTGGATGTACCTTTTCTTGCTTTACAATTTCCAGTTTCCCTCGGTTCATGTTTCTAATGTTCCACGTCCTGATTGTATATGTTGTGCAAGCATCGTACTTTCCTTTTACCTTCGCGCACAACAGCCACCAAACATCCTTCAGCTTTAGTCTAGTTGCATCATTAGCAAATAGCCTTGTTCTCTGCTATTTCCCAGTAATTGTTTGAGTGCTTTCTGATGTGGGAGTCTCATCTTTCAGCACTAGCTCATGTTTCATTTCGGACTCTTATCACGGGGTTTTCAAGGTAAAACAAAAGATCAAAATATAAGAGAGAGATAATAAGAAAAGAAAATGCAGCAGTGGTTTACCATTGCCTCTGCTGCACAGTGTGTGGGTCCAAACTCCTTATGCTTGAGTCCCTGGTGTCGCAATCACCAAACACCTATGACATATAAGTACCCCTGTGGGCAGACATAGATACAGACATAGGCATATTAAGAATAAATGATACAAGGTGTAGGAATATATCTATGTCTAGATATGGACAGGCAGGCATAGATGTATTCCTCACTTTGCATTATTCAGTCTTCGTGTTCACAGTCAACAATTAAATCCCTTGAAATGTCTTCCTGACTACCGCATACCTCGAGTGACAATGTGGTTAATATAAAATCCTGGGTTGACAGTTACTTTATCTCAGCAGGTCAAAGATATTATTCCAATATCTTCTGGCACCTATTAGTACTGAGAACTCTACTGTCAGGTGTCATTCTTTTGTAAGTAATCAGCCCTTTCGCTTTGGTAGGTTTTAATATGTCTTCCTTATTCCTGGTATCTTTTCAAACATTTACTCTCTACCTTTTCTATCATTTATTCCATTAAACTCATCTGAGGTTCCCACTCAACATTCTTTGAATTTTGAACTTTGCAATCTGTTTTATCTCTCTCAACTTTTTTTCTTAATTTTGCTCTTTGACTCTCTATACTGAATTCTGGATGACTTTTCATTACCACCATGAACAGGAGTATCCTTAAAGGATCCCCAGGTGTTCCTGAGGCCCAAAGTGAAGATTACTGCAAACAGGTTAACACGGAGGTAGAAACACATTGAGACACACCTCCCACTCAAAATTAGCCCTCAAACAATGTTCAAACTCATGAGATCTAAGATCTTATTCTACCTGCAAGTTAGCAAGTTATCTGGCCCACAGTTTCGCGAATATTGGCATAAGACAACTGGGTCAGAGATTTAAAAACACAACAACAACAACAACAAAATAACCACCTATAATATTCATGGCAAAGGAGCAGCAGAGTTTCAGGTTCATTTACATTGGTTGTACATGCCCACCCTCACCCCACCACCTAAATCACACAGAAATGATCCAAAGGGCCTGTTACGGATTCCTGCACACACGGGGTGTGCTACAGCGGCGCACTGAGCTTGGAGAATCTCCAAGTGAAAGCAAGCC